TGTTCAGAATTAATTAAAATAAATTACAAGTTAAAAGGGGCGTGGACATTTCTCTTTTTTGTATCGAAAAAACATCGAACCGTGAGACTAAAGTATCAAACTGAACCAAAAAGTGGATATTCTGTATCGTTGCAGCCTTAATGTTTATTTCAGTGGCCCTAATCCTCTTTTGTGAAAAAGAAACAGGAAATCCTGATAGTTTAGATGAGTAAATCTGTTTTATGTGGCGGGGAATAATGTTTTTCTGTAACTGAGAGTCAGCTGACAGCTGCGACGCCATCTTTTCTCAAGATAAAACTATTTGATCTTAAACTCTGCGGTTGATTCGTATTCCTTCAAGCCTTGAACCATCGGAGCACAGGAAGCGGGTCTTACAGAACGCAGAGCCAGGACTGCTGGTACTGGACCCCGGTGGCCGTGGCCGTCACGCCCTGGATGGTCTCCGACAGCAGGTGCACTGAGGGTCAGAGGTCAGTTAGACAATAATCTAATCCTAATCTCAGAAACGACAAACAGGATGTGAACTTCTCTTCTGTATGGAGCGAAGTAACACCCGCRGTGTTGGACACCGCGTTTAGATCGATTTTCAATTTGTTTTAAAAAAGTGGCGCCTTCTCCCAGGACAAGTCTTCAAACATGTCGTTGACRTATTTAATGAGCTTCTCTTCTGCTGCGAGCGGCGCCGCCGTCCGCTGCAAACGCCACGAGCCGCTAACGAGCGTCCACCGCCCGAGACGCATGTTCACACCGAACAAATCATTAAACGTCACGAGCTTCCTAATAACAGGAAACTCCGTTTGACTTGGCTGCTCTGAGGGATTCTCTTCAGCGGCTGCAGRAACCCAGAGAAGACCGGGCTTCCTTTGTCTCCTGAAAACCTCCTGAGCTCATCAGCTCAGAGACAATGACAGGGTGGAAATGTTTGGTGGTGTTCACAGCCAGCATTTCCATAACGTTTTGACTCCTTTTTATTCTGTCTTTGTCTCTCTCTCCATCGCTCCCCCTTTGCCATGCCGTCTCATCAATAAAGTATCCTCCATTCATGCCAGAAAATGATGGGCGTCACCATGACAACAGTATCACAGGGCTCATACAGAGGGAGGAGAGGAGAGTAAAAAATATATAAAAAAATAAGCCGGTTTGGGGAGACGAGAAAGAAAGGAGGGGAGCACAGAGGAGAGTGAAATAACAGTTTTTTTTTTAAGATCCCACAGAGACGAAATAAAACATGACAATCAAAAATAAACAAAAAGCGAGATGAGACGAGACGAGGAGGCGGAAACGGGGGGGACGGCGTGGGGAAATAGAAATTGGGGAGTCGACAAGGACTCAATTCAATTAGCAGCAATAAGCTTGACGGCCAGGTCCAAATCAGAAGCCATCCGATTCGTTACTGACGTCAGGGACGAGTCGGGGGGACGGGGGGACGGAGACAACCGGGGAGGCTGAGAAATGAAACAGATTGAGAAGGGACTGAAAATTAAAAAGAGAAAAAGACACAGACAGAAAAATGTGTGCTACAAGGTCGTCTGGAAGGTAGCAAAGAGAGAAGCTGACAGCTAACAATGTTAGCTTTGTGCCTCCTACATTAATGTTTACTAACGGCTAACACTGTTAGCTTTGTGCCTCCTACATTAATGTTTACTAACGGCTAACACTGTTAGCTTTGTGCCTCCTACATTAATGTTTACTAACAGCTAACACTGTTAGCTTTGTGCCTCCTACATTAATGTTTACTAAAAGCTAACACTGTTAGCTTTGTGCCTCCTACATTAATGTTTACTAAAAGCTAACACTGTTAGCTTTTTGCCTCCTACATTAATGTTTACTAAAAACTAACAATGTTAGCTTTGTGCCTCCTACATTAATGTTTACTAAAAACTAACAATGTTAGCTTTGTGCCTCCTACATTAATGTTTACTAA